GTGACGGGACTTTTGCGTCATAGGAAAGTGCATGGTCCTGGGGTGCAGTGTGTGTTGCTTTAAAGGACCCACCCTGCCGGATATCCAGACTTGAAGGAGATTGGTCGTGGGCAGCAGCCCGCACAAAGTCGGCAGAACAGGTACGGTACTTTTCGGCATCGGCTGAACCAACATCTTCGGAGACATTCGGAGTAGCTCCCACGGAATTCGTGGGGAGTCGGTTATCTTCCTCGTTCATCTTCGAACAAGCATCGGATAGCAAATGTCGATCCCTCTCCGCAATAGCATCTGCTGTGGGGCTCCTTGAAGATCTGATCTTGAAGATGCTCGACACTTGCGTTCAGTCCTGACCGGCGGAATCCATATGTATTCCCGTTTGTTTCCCAGATAGGCCACTTTGGGAGCCGACCGGTGGTACCAAGATCTCTTCGTGTCAAATTGCCAACTGAACGGATCACGGCAGCAACCGGTCGCAATTCGGCAGACAGTCCTCATGCATTGTACAAGTTACCAGCGACAGGTCGATCGTCGCGTCATCATGTCATGTTCCTTCTCCGTCTGACTTATCCGTATGAGGCGGCCAAGCCACCCAAACCTGTCTCGCCCGCCACATCACCAGGCCTGAACCAGAGAGGCGCAGGCAGGACGTTATGGGCGAGCTTGAACTGAGAACCACAAGAGCTCAAATTCAACAATCCACACAGAAGCTGATCAAGTACCGCGGCAGGCACAATCTTGAATTCGCAGCGGGACATGCGAACACCCCTCCCCACAGAAATAGCATCTATGGAATGGGAAACCAATTCGGTTTGGTTTCTGGTGCCCGCTCAAAAGATACCGGCAAAACGGCTACAACTATACTACAGTAATTAGAAATTAGTGATAGTCGTACTATTAGTACTACAGTTGTAAGTAGTAATCAGTATCAATATCAACAATGAAGCCCCCCCAGCCACCTCCCTCGCAGAAAAACTGACGATCATATTAAAAGGAATAATGGAAAGGGACACCATGGGGACACCATTTCATTCATTATTCATCATATCACTATTCCTTTGCTGGCTGCGCCCACAGTCGGGCGGCGCAGGCAGCAGTCAGGAGCAACCCGTCATGTTGGGATGGGGCGTACGGTGGGGGGGGGGGTGGCATTGTGGTTGTGGTTGTGGCTGCTGTTGCTGTCGTTGTCGTTGTTGTTGGCTTGTGGATAACTTATTGTTTTTGTTCCTGTTGCTGTTGTTATTGTTCTTGGTATTGTTATTGTTTTTGTGTGCGCTCTTGTTATTGTTCGTGTTATTCATTGTTATTGTCATGGCCATTGTTGTTGTTGGTGCTGGTGCTGGACGGTGAGGGTGGCGGTTAGGGTTTTTTGCGGTTGCGGTTGTGGCTGTCGTTGTGGTTGCGGTTTTGCCAGTAGTTGTGGCTGTGGCTGTCGTTGTCGTTGTGCCTGTGGTTGTGGCTATGGCTGTGGCTGCAGCTGTCTGTGGTTGTTGTGGTTGCGGTGGTGGTTGCTGTTGTTGTTGGTGGTGGTGGTGGTGGTGGTGGTCGGTGGTGGCGGCGGGGATGGTGGAGGTGCTGGTCCTGGTGCTGCAGCACCAGCATGTGGTGGTGTTAGTGTTGTGGTTGGTGTTGGTCTTGCGCCCGTGCATTCAGCTGATCCTCCACCTGGCTGTGCCTGTGCATCTAGCTATCGTCGCTCCCCATACCTCCGCCGTACGTCAGAAGCTCCAAGCCCAGGCTGGCTGTCACCTTCAAGGCTCAACATGCAGGGAACAAGAGCAAAGAGCTAGCAGTGTCATGGCATATTTGCATAGACATGCTCCTCTCCGCAACTGTTACCACCAGGAGTTTGCACTGTCAGGCAGCGGCTTTTGCTGGATCAACGGGGACACGCAACCTCCGCAAAATCCATGAGCACCTGCCTTAATGCTTAATGCTTGCAGACACGCCGGTGTGCAGCGAGCTTGTGCTGCGAGCAAAGGGCGAGATCGGCTATGCCGCTTGAGTGCTAGCCTTACGCACGAATGCCAACACGAGCTGCCGGCAAAGCATTCCGACGGTCCGAGCTAGATCTGGCTTTCGCCTTTGCTGCAGGCATGGTGATCTGATGTCGGTGGCTCGGCCAAAGCTACATCCGATCGAGTACCACCTCTGTGACTGACAGAGTCGGTGAGCCACAATGTGGCACGGCAGCGGTGCACGATGCTTGAGCCGCTGATCAACGCAGCATTGTCTAAACCGGTTTGATGAGTCACCCGACTTAGCATCACCAACCTATCGCCAAACTTATTGCACAGTTCCCACTTGCAGCCGCCTGCGTGCCATGTATTGATGCAAGCCCTCACGTATTGGAGACCCAAGATGAGACAGTTTTGGGCCATATCCTACTGCAAGCCTGGCTGATCCTTTGGTGAATGTGAGCTTTAGATGATCGGCATGTGCAGATCATGCAGCAGCTCAGAACACCCGCACAACCAAGACCTGGCGACCGAGAGCAGACCGGATCGTTGCGACATTGGGGTTGGACGAAACCTGTGAATGTAGGTTCACTTTCATGAAGTCCTCACTGGCTACGATACTCGTCGCTGCAAGCCATTTCCGCCTTTGAACAAGACTGTTTAACCGACTGAAGGATCCGGGGGTGGGGTTCGGACATTGTGTGCTCACTTGGTTATGCAGCTGTGATACGGTCCCTGCATTCTAGAGACCACCCCATGAGCAACAGGGTTGCAGATTTGGCTGGCTTCGAGATGTCACATACCATCAGATCTAGCAAAGAAGACACAGGTAGTGACCAGCATTTCGCACCAGAGCGCAGAGAGCGCAGGCGATGACAGACGCCTCTACGGTGGTTATTGCAGATGACGTCGAGGCTCTCCGAGTCTGCGAGGGTCGAAGTCACGCCACGTCACGCTGGCACTGGTAACCGCGTGGTGCATGACACTCCACGTAGTGACGTAGTGCCCGTGTGGGTACGTCTAAGTTAGATAGTCATGAGCGTACTTGCAAATTGGTTGACTGGGAACTGTGCATCGAGGTGCAGACCTGCAGATCTGTCACGAAAGCTAGCTCTTTGGCGCTTGCGGGAGTGGTCGTTCACAAATTTCTTCCTAGGAAGTTCCATGGGTGCAACGAAGGCTCACGGCCTTAAAAGGCTTCTTTTCAAACGATTTCGGTGTTGCAGGCGGGGGTGGGGGGGCCACCCCCCCTCCCTTGTTTGCTTGATTTAAGGGCGCCCGCCCCAACAGCTAAGGCCCGCAGCGCCTCCCTAGCAGGGCCCCCCGTCCCCCCCCCGAAAAGGCCATGCTTGCGAGCATAGCCGTTTGAAGAGTGTCGATTTGTTGTTACTCATAGCCGTTTGTAGAGTTTAGAGTTGTTACCACTTATCACAAGCCTCCGCCGTCCTGCTTCTAGCTTTCGTAGCCCTGCTCTCAAGTTGTAGCATCCTTGATCACAAGCTTAGAGTGTCTTTTGAGCCAGTGGTGTGTTCCTGGGCAGTAGTAAATACTTGTGGGGCCAGTGGTGTGGAAATGAAATTCGTCTTCCTTGTGACATGCGCTCCGCCCTTGAAAATGGGGCAGGGATGGCACATGGTCTTCAGCAGCAATTATCAGCACTACGGCGCTCTAGGTGTGATTATGTGGTACCTGTACTATGAGCTCTGAACGCTGCTACTTCGAGTCCCCCTACCCAGAAAGTGCATCATTGGCGATAACCGTGAATGCTCGCGGAATAAGTGCTTACTAAGTGCTTCGTTCAATGAGTTGTCTCACCCTGTCAGTCCATTCCGGCCGTGGCATTCGTCGTTTCGATTTTCGCCTCGAGCTTGGACGAGCTGGGGGACACGGGAAGTCTTTTTGGGCAGCAATTTGAGGTTGGCATCGTGGGTTACTCGACCTGGACAGCCTTTGGGCCAGGCCCGGCGGCCGTCCGGCGGCCGGCCGTCCGGTGTTTCCATCAACGCGCTACGCTCGCTCAGGAGCTTCCGAGCTTCGAGACCCCTTCGAGGAGCATGAGGATTAAAGGTTTGAATGCAGCGGGCATCCCAGGTGTTCCATCTTCACAAGTGCGCGAAACAAGTCAAAGCCGTGGCATGCTTCTGCCTTGAGGGTACAGTCGGATGTGATGATGATTTTCGCCTCTGCCTTGCGGCTGTCGGTCACTCGGCCGATATGATTCCAGACTTCTCGTGCGAAGCATTCCGGCTCTGTGCCTGCGGCCGAAGGGATTGATGAGGAATCTGTTGGTGAGGGGACGGTGGAGCCCCGACGGTAATGATTACCTTTATCCAGATTGCATTGGCCATTAGTGTAGTTGGTGCGGCCGCTACGATTGTCATGGTGTTGGTTCTGGTTTCTAGGGAATGCTGCAGCTGCTGATGCTGCTACTGATGGTCATGGTGATGATGATGATGGTGGTGGTGCAATGGTTGTGATATTCATTCTCTGTTGATTACGTAAGTTTTGTGTTCGGGATCTTCGCGCCAGGCTGCACCGCGTGGGCTTGTGTTTCAGCTCCATTTTCGACGAGCAACTTCAGCCTGGGCCTCCCTCCTTTGCTGAGCAGCTGTCAGTGTGTAAGCTTCGATTCCGTTTGCAGGTTGGGCGACGTCCCGGCAGACAGCTTTCAGCTTTCGTTGCTGACACCGGAGTTGAACAAGCGAACGGACATGCATGAGAGATTCAAGAGACAAGAGTAGGCCATGTCGCACGTCACCTTCCGACAGCGCGCTGATTCTTCAGCATGGCCCGATCTCAGCTAGCTACTTGTGTAAATCGTGAGACGTTGATTTCGTGACTGGCCCCTACGAGCATGCAAGAATTCGAGCGGCTCATGGTCGTACCTAGAAGCCGTCGTGCCAGGGCCGCAAAGCAAAGGCTCTCAAGCCCAAACACGGTTCACTTTCCAAAAGTTTATCTAGATGGGGAGGCGAAGTGGTCAAATCGGAGCTTGTGAGGGCAGGCTGCAGGGGGACTTTGGAGGCTCACGTTGCTATCGTTAACATGGAAGCCGCCTGGCGGCCATCGGCTTCTCCACGTTTGGGCCAACTTTGCTCTTCACCGCACCCACGCAGCCGAAGGAGCCATCCAGGTGCAACAGTTCAGCAGGCAATAACCGTAACAGGCTTGCTGTGGTAAGCGGCAATGCAGGAAATGTTGTCAAGGAAGGATGGCAAAGCTGCAGCCTTGCTTTCCTTGCAGTCGTTCAGAACTCAGCTACAGCCTTGCATTTACAATACATGAAGTCCTGGTGTGGAGACAGAGTCTCGGGCGCAGAGAGCATAGTTCATGTCACAGTACAGATGCCCAAGGCGTCTCAGAATGTCGAGTGTCAACACCACAAGGTCGCTTTACCAAGTTTGAACCGGCGATGCACCCCACTGGCCAAGGCAAAACGTGCAGAGATCAATGTTGCAGGTTGCCCCGTCTCTGGAAGTTTGAGCTGTCAGGCGAAGGCAAAAGCATCGGCCACGGAAGGCATCAGATCGTGGATTTTGTTCCAGGATCTTCAACAGTGCATCGGGCATTCAACTTCTGACAGCACAGAAGGCCCAAAGTCGTACGAGAAACTTGAGGCAAGGGCGGGAAGGGTTGCAAGCTTCCATGAAACAAGGCAGCAACTTCCCCGCTAGCCCAGCCCTGGTTGTTGGCACTTGATCCCTTCTTTCCTCGTGGTCAGGCTTTCCTTCGATTGCGGCGACAAGCCCCTCTAGCCAGCGATCCCTTAGGGGGCTCTTTGACACCGCGCGCATGCCGCATTATTCCGCTTAAGTTGGCAGCGGGCCAGCGGCCAGCGACATCGAATGTGTTGTCAGGTACAACGACGGTCCGTTGGATATGCTGTTCATCGCTGTGTTTCGTCAGGCTCACACTGCACTCATTGCACATGCCACTCCTCGCGGTCTGCGGCAGTGCCACTATCCTTGCACAATCTGCGAACGTGCCTTTGCAGATCTTCGTGGTACTGACAGGTGATGTCTGGCGTCGCTGGCTGGCAGTCTCCCTTAGCATTTTGGGGGCCGGAGGCCACTATACCTTTTTGTGAGATCAAGTCCTGTCCTTGCTCTTGAGCCGCGAAGCTGAGCTTTCCTCACGTGACATGATGCTTCTACTAGACTTACTAGTTACTATAGTATTCTCCCACTGGCGCCTGTCGTCGCAAGCCATGCGGGAAGCATCTTGGAGCCACAACGGTCCGCAACTGCCACAGCAGGCCTATGACGGGATGTTGGAGGTGGCTCATGCGCAGCAGTGGGGAAGGAGCCTTCAAGAAACGGAGGACCTTTCCGTGTCCCCCATGTTATCCATCTAAGTCCATGTACCGCCTCCCATCTCTAACTTTCTCCAGACTCCCAAAACTGTTGGGCAGAGATGGAGAGCAATGCAACATCATGCACATGTTCATTCGTGCCGACCGCGCTTTGTGCACGCAGCAGTCTTGGTCGGCGCACCCATGCGATCAGCTCCCAGTGGTTCGAACTTGCAACCTCAAGTCTTACGTTGCTGGCCATGAGTCAACATGTTTCTGACACGACTGTAGAGGACTCCGCTATGTCAGTCATCGACGGCTTGCTCCCCGAAGAGGGGAAGGCGAGTATCGGGGAAAGATCTGGAAAGTGTCAATAAGCTGCTTTGGAACGGCAGTCCACGCAGGGTGCACATTCACCTTGGGGCATCGTTGACGGAGCTTTCTTGCTGCTTACAGCACAAGGTCTGGTTCGATGCCGGTCACCAACACATCAACACATCTAAGACGTTAATAAAAGGGTGCACGGCACACCTGTGACATCGAACCCGCTGTAGCCGGCACTGGTGATGGGGCCCTGCGCTCAGAGCCATTGTGAGCATGTGGGCAACAAGACAAAACAGGCTAAACGGGCAAAGTCTGAAGTCAGTGAAGTGGCTCAAGGCAGAGCTGCTGTCGAGCAGCAGCACCATGCGAGGAGGTGCCCAACCAGGTCCGAGTGGGGCAGAACAAAGTGATTCTTCAAGACTCTTCAAGTGAGCGCTCAAAACGAGGTGCTTCACGAGACAACGGAGGCGCACTTGTCCACCGGATGCGAAAATGTCTGCATGGGTTGGGAGATGGGATAAGTTCATCTGATGATAAGAGCCATCCTCCAGTCCTCATGGGATCAGAGAGAGCAGCGCAAAAGACAATCGTAGCAGTAGTCACGAGAAGCAGGAAAAAATGAAAGAGGACAGAAATGCATTGAGTGAACAATGCAAGATGCAGGAAAAGCGTGGGCCTGCCAGCACAAGCCAAAGCCTGCAAACGCTTGCCTCTTGCAGCACAGATGCAGCAGGCTTGCGACAGTGAAGTGCTAGCCTCAGACTGCCTCGCCTCTCGTTGTTTCTCTTTGACTGCTTGGTCTTTTCAGCTTCATGATGTCCAGGCTGAGAGCCTGCTGCGAGAACTGTTTCGGTCCTACCCTCGTTGCATGGGCGAACTCCACAGCTTTTCATTCTGTCTCTTCGATCCTTCATCTTGAAAGTCATGACGAAAACACAGTCGAGTGAACACCCAATAAGGAAAGCAATGAGTAATGCCCCCGCGACCTGCCAGCAAGCATAGAAGAATGATGCGTGAATTGCACACCAGCATCTTTACCGTGCACCCGAGATCCTCTCCAACGAATATGGAAGTTTTTGCAACAAGCGGCGGCAGCGGAGTGTGAGATCAAAAACAGTTCTTTGTTTTTGGCAGTTTGACTCCAGGGCCTCCCCATAGAGTGTTGAATAAATCTTCTACGTCAGAAAAACCACGGGCAGAAGCCATGTGGCATACAGATCCCCAGCGGCTTTCCTTTGTCGTTGGCTGGATTGGCTGGTTCTGGGTTGAATGGACCATGCTCTTGGCTGTCTATCGCATGGTCGTTTACTCCGAATGCAGCGCGCAGTCCTTTTTCAGATCGTTTGCGTAGCTTCGGCAGTGCGGCCCTCGATTGCAACATGGCGACACCTGGCGATATTTGCAAGACATTGATTGTATTGTTCCTGTCGATCTTGCTGCATGGCGTTAGTATAAATACGACTTCCAGTTGACATATGCGCGGACTCAGGCTTGGTGGTCTTGCTGGACAAAACTGCCACTGCCAATGGGGCCTGTGTCTTGCCAATGTGCAGTCAGCTGGTTGAGGCTGACTGCTTAAGTTTTGTCGAGACATGTCATGCCTTTTGCATGTCGTTCCGCAGACTCTGACGGCTCTGGAATCTCTAGAATAATGCAAGGAGTGGAATCTTGCTGGGCATTGTCGTCATGCTCGCAGCAGGTTGCTGTGCATCCCATGCTCCTGTAAAATAAAGACAGAAGGAAATACTTGTGCGGCTTTGGTGGACATTTGTGAGTACCGGGCAGGTGTGTTTACGGCTTTGCCCGTGTATTTCGACCTGTTCTGCTACCAGTGGTACTACGCATTGCCGCTTGGCATAAGCATAGGTGGTTCGCCATCGCAGTAGGATAGGGCATCCCGCTGCCAGAATGCCTCCCTCGAGATTGCTTGGGGCCGCGCAGGTGCTGGATGTGGTTCGCCATCGGTGCTTTCATGCTTGTGTTCGGCATTGTCTATGAGGACTCGTTTGCCATTGCCAGCCTGCAATTGTCATCACTCGCCAAGCCTAGAAGAAAACCGCAGAAAGTCCGACGAACGACATTGAACGACTGTTGTTTTGCGAAGGCTTGCTGCATCCCGAAAGCTGCACAGGCGGGTGCCCAAGCCAGAACCTTTGATGTGCATAACCGACATGACGAACGACGAGATGCGACGAAAGCACACACAATCACACACACACACACACACTTTGTCACACGACATGCTTCTGTCGCTGGAGCGAGAAAGACCCAAAGCTGCGCCTTGCCGTTTACGCGGGGGGCAGGCCCTCAGGAGGAGCAAGTCGCTCGCTTGACCTGGAAGCCTCGTGAAGCACGAAGAGTAAACTGCAGAGCTGACTGCGCGGCAAGCGCATGTCCTTTTGTCCCAGCCGTTGGCACGAATGCTCCATGTGCCAGGCGAAAGCTTCAACTCGACATCCTGCATCCAGTCATTGACGAAAAGACAAGAATGCACAGCAAAGACAGGGAAAGCTTGGACCCGTCGCCTGGCGTGGCATGCAGGGTGTGTTGATCATGCCCCGAGTTAGCCGTGGCACCCAAGTGGAAGCTGGCTATGGCTGGCTGATCGCAGCTGATGTTGAATCCCCGTGGTTTGGAAAGGAGGTCGGTTGGCATGAACTGTGGTAAACAATGGCAGCATGAGAGTCGGGCTATATGATGAAAAGATGCATCGGCAGCACTCCCCGCAAACCTATTGACAGCTGGGAGCAGCAGCTCAGGAAGAATGCGCGGTGGGACAAACGCTATGCGGCTTTGTCCACTCAGCAAGACGCGCAGGAAAAAGAAACGGCCAGCTGCATCTTGTGTCACAAGTCACCACTTGATCAAGCTGGTGGCTGCTATGCCGGATTCACCCAGCCGCCTCGGATGAAGTGATCATGGAGATGCCTGCTGAGATATCTGCAATATTCAAACACGTCGTGCTGTGCGACGGGTGCTTGCAGGCGATATGCGCACCCTGCAATTGCCCAAAGTGTGCTGGTTGCGGGTCTTGCATCGCCTGCGGCCCCTCGCGAAAGATCACCTAGATTGCTCTTGGGCGCGCAGGATGTTGCAGGATTGCAATGGAGGTCCGTTGCACAAGGAATTGGGGCGCGGTGTGAATGTTGACGTGGTGCCGGGGTGCCTTTGCAGGGTATGACTGCTGCAATTGCTGGCAAGTGCTACTCTGTTGCCTCAGACTGATTCACCTGTTGCACGACATGAGCACCGGGACCTGAACAGGCAATACATCACCTGAAGATACCTGCAGGTTTTGTATGAAACTGGCAGTTTCCCTTCGCTCTTGCCCGCGTGTCGAAGGAAATGAGCTGGTGTCGTTTGATATGTTTGTGCGGGCTTGCGCAATAAGTTCGGAGTGCCACGACCTACATGGCAACGTTCAGCCTCATGCAGGAGTGAGGCATTCAGATCCTCGCTAATGAGTAGTAAAAAGTAGCAGGTCGCGGGCTGGCGCACTTCCGATCCAGCTGTCGATGGATGTCCAAAGTATGGATAGTATGGACCTTTGCGACAGCTATGCCTGCCTACCTACCTGCCTACCTACTACGCACATACAATACAACACAGCACAATACAATACGACATGATACAAGAAAACGTATAATACACTGCTAACTACATACAATAATACATACATTTCAGTACGGTCCAGGACAGTACACAGCACACTAGAATACCATGCAATTTAATACAATAAAGACAGACAGACGCACAGACACACAGAACGACATACATACCACAACATATACCTACCTTCGTACATGCATAAATGCTCACCCACACAGGCAGGCCGGCAGTGAGGCAGACATGCTCACCCACGCGTCCGTGTACGCCCACGCGCTCGCATGCCCACAGTACTCGTGCGTAAACGTTTTGATGATGAAGCTAGCGCGCCTGGTCAGGTTGTCGTAGCCGCGCATGGGAAGAAGCGAAATCTGTGAAAGATTGTCTCGTGCTGGAGCCCGCTGAGTGTTTCGTAGTTTTCCTTGTGGTATGGCCAGTGGTACAGCAATATGAACTGCGTGGAAAGGTGAAATGTCCGCTAGTTTCTGATTCCTTGAGTCATTGATTGTTTGTTGTGTGGGGTTTGCGTTTACAAAGCTACATGCCTTTGTGCAGAATTTGGCAGATACAGCAGCCTATTCCTTTCACGTGGGTTCGTTTGGCACAGAGTTCAATTCAAAGCTTATGGTCGCTGTTGCCTGAGACACACATCTGACATGTGGCTCAGATTGCTGCAACGGTGCATGGTGGAAAGCTGTTTGCCAAATCAGGGAGGCGCCGATATGCCCAGATTGTACGCGGATGGAGTCCAGTCCGCTACAGGTGCACAGCATTGTCTATGGTTGCCTCCGCCGGTTCCACTTGCACGGCACGAAACACACAGCCCGTGCAAGGTACGCAAAACAGCTTCCAAAAGACAGATGTGGACACATGTAGTACACTGGAGTGTTAGGAATGATGCTTTAGGACGCTACACAGAGACATGCGCACAGCCTGCACAGACACACGCACGCAAGATCACGCACGCACCTGTACACCCGCATACTTGCGCTTCCGCGAGCTTTACAGGCCGAATCGCAAATCTAGGGTGTCTATCGATTCCGCCGAGGCGAGGGAATTCCAAGGGGTGGAAGAGAATGGCGACGGCCCTTTGTCAGCACCGACCCCGTACATCATGATCAACTGAGATGTATTGTCAATGGCAACGGCACGGGCCTTAGATTAACTGCGTGAAGCAAGGGACAGTTATTCGTGTGTTCAGCTGTTTTGAAATCGGTGGTGGCAGGATAACTGGAGGCATGGCCCTGTCCCTGATTGCTACAGAGCTTGTAGTTCCAATTTTTTGTGTCTTATAGTGACATGAAGACGAGCTTGACATTGCTGTCATTCCACCACTCGAGTCAATACCCTATGAGCCTACGATGGTACAGTTTAGCTGCAACATGTGGATGCGATGCAGTCCAGTTGTAGTATCTATTCATCTTCGAGATGGTCCATCCGGGTGGTTGAAATGCAGGTGCTCAAACGTGGCTCGCTTGGCATAGCCATAGCTTGCCACAGCCTGTCTTGGCCAATATGCCACTAGCCCGTCGAGTAGTGTCACAGTGCTTTCACAAGCAAAAGACGGGACAAGCTTGATTAAAACTACGTATGCAAAGCGTGGGACCGGCGAGACGGCAAAGTGACAAAACAGAGCAGCGGAGTGCAGGTCAGTTTAGCATGCCTTTCAGTGCGAGGCCCTGCAACCTGCCTGTAGCAGTCACGCTTAAAACCGAGAGCTGCTGCGCGGCCCAGGCTGCACGACCTCAACAGCAATGGGCTTCTAGAGATCGAGGAGCTTGTGCAGTTGAATTCTAAGGCTTGGCCGGGTGAGCGGATTAGCAATCATTAGTCGTGTTCGAGAGGCATTGCTCTTGACTGCTGTTAAGTTTGGCTCAGTTTCAGGTGGCTCTGCTCCATCGTGGAAGAGACGTCAACCTGCTGGCCGTGAAAGCCAGGACTGCCTCCCTGGTTTTTGCTTGCAAGAATCCTTTCTGAACTTCATGCTCCGCCTGCCAGCCTAAAGAACTTCAGGACCATCTTGTAAGCGCCAGTCTCCAAAAACGTTGCAGTCGCTTAAACTGCTAGCTTCAACAGATGTGCCACACTGATTCGTGTCTGGAAAAGTTTAGGACGTCGATTGATCAGCAAAGGGAGAGAAGTGTTCAACACCTGTCGGCCAGTGCAGTGCACGAGTCCACCCCACACCTTACACTGACATCAATGACTCGAACCAGCCGCTTCACTTGAGCTGAATACGGCATCACTGGTTTCCCAACGCGTTCTGTCTCGAACCATGATCAGATCAGGGCTGGCAGAGGGGTGGAATGGGTTCGGCATGGTTGCGGGCACTTGTCGAGCAGCATTGCTCGCAACTGCTCGCAGGTACCGTAAGCTCTTCAAGGAGCGCCTTGATCCGGAGGGTCATCCTGTCAAGCGCCTTTCTCAGCCATTGAATCTCGATGGTCTCCTGCCGATCCCTGACTACAAGGTTCGAGACGTTCAGGAAGTATGTGATCCAGGCTGATCCTACACCCTCGACACAGCATGCTCCAGCCGATTTGTGTTCACCCTTGGAAACATGAGGTGCTGGACGGCATCGATCGCGATCCCATAGCCCAGGTTGGCGCCTCAAATTGGCCGGCCATGTCACTCACTGTCAGCCGACTGTCCTGTCATTCCGACACCCGAGAGAGAATTAAGAAGCGGACGGGACGATTATAGATTTCGTGAGCTTGGTCCATGGCCGAAATTTTGCAGAATGCAGGAGATGATGCTGGAGCAGTTTGTAGCAGAGGCCGCATGAGACGCGTGATGTTCCTGTGTTGCGCATGATGGTGGACGAATTCAGCAAGATTGAAGCGATTCGCGCGAGTTTTTTGCTCCAGGCTGTTAGCAACAGTGTTTGAAAAGCTCCGTGCGCGCCGCCATGCGAGAGATTTACAATCCACTGGGTGTGATTGATGATCTCTTCGCAGTCCGCACCAAGGGTTCCACGCTGGATCCTCCTCACGAGTGGGGTGAGAAGGCCCACTTCATACAAGCTCTGCGACTCAACGAGGAAGACAATTTCAGCAAGATCCCATGCTTGAATGATGTAGAGTTGGTAGAAAGCCTTCCGCCATTCAGCTTAGTGCGATATCGATGCATGGTGCAGGACATATTCGATCCAGAGATGTATGCTGCTTTCTGTGTGACAAAGACTGAGGGAGATCTACGCTTGGTGAACTTGAAGTATCGAGAACGACTTCCTCACGGAGACCTCGAGGATGTGGGAAATGCTGCGCTCAGGATGCGTGGAGCATACTACTGCGTACCACTTCCTGGCGAGACTTCTTGGGCGACTCAGCCAAAGCAGTCCATGCATTCCGGCGCACATTGCCCAGAAGCCACACTGGCTTCGGGAATAAAGCGTCGTCGGGATGCGGACATAGACATGGAGAACGTCGATGCTCAAGCCGAAAGCCCCGAATGCCCAACAGTTTTGTCTTCCTCGGCGAAGGCAAGGCACAACTCGGCCCCCGCGGCATCTCCGGGCCAAAATGCAGACAGCTTTGGCTTGAATTTCCCTTTGCCTTGGGAAGAGACAGACAGGCGCAAGACAGCGTGCATTGTGAAGCTGTACGATGAAGATGAAGAGGCTTTGTCTAAACTGGGTGAGACTGTGGAGGTGCTGGGTATCCTTTGTGTGGACCCAGCCATGGCAAACCTGGGAGAGCCGGTTTGGACTCCGGCCGGCGCAGATGCCCGTGATCCCTCCACAGCTTTGGTGCCCAGGTTGCATGGGCTCCTGGTCAGAAAGCTCCAGGGTTATCATCCAATGTTCCCATTCACAGCCAGTTGGCTGTCGGAAGAGCGCTTGTCCTTGGCGTTTCAGAGCCGGCTTGGAGGTCCCGGCGCTGTCGCGGCTGCTCGTGCGGCAGCCCTTGCCTTGCTGCAGAAGTCTCTTGGCGACAGCGTGGCAGCGGAGTACATCTTGGCCCTGCTCATTTCCCGCGCCCACGATGCTGGCCTTGGGCAGTGGTCTCTCAATCTCACCCAGTTAGACCCTTCGCAGGGCACGGTCAGCAACTTGTTTCGTGCCATTGAGGAACTGATGCCCCGAGCTGTCTGCCTGCCTCTGACGACGGAGTCCCTCAACTCCGGGGGCTGGCGTCCACGGAAGGACTTTGAGGCCAACCGCTTACGAGCTGGCAAACTCCAACTATCCGCAGGCACCGTCCTCGTGTTGGATGAAACGCAGCTGGACGAGGGACATCTAAATGCAGAAGGTGTTGCTTCCTTTGGTGCAGTTCAGAACATAGTCTCAAAGCAAACGCTGCCGTGCGATTTTTCAGTCTGCACCATGGAGATTCCGCTGGAGATCAACAGCATCGTTGCCTCCAGAGGCTGTTCAGTGCTGAAGGCTGATGCTGTAATGCTTCCGCTCTGCAAGGACGGCGACATCACGAAATGCCAGGATTCTTCCAGTCTGGATGCCTCGCGCTTCTTTCTTGGCTTGATCACCCGTCACACTCGGCAGCTGCGGATTCCCGAGAGCGTGGCTCACACAATGAGTGGAGACTATGCGAAAATGCGGAACAAGTTTCTAGAAATTGGACAGTCAACTCTTTGCAGGTGGGTTACCTTGGCAAGATCGATATGCCTTTCTCATGGTGAGGAAGAGCTTTCGCTGTCTCGGTGGCAGTCCATCCTCGAGCTTGAGAAGCAGCGTTTGCAGCGATGCGTAGATGCCGGCGTCATTCATCTCCGCTGAAACACGGAGCTAACATTTTGATTCCTGAACTGCGGAGGGGCGGTCGCGCAGTGTCGTAACTTGTGCCAATGGGCCAATGTAATGCACAAACGAGTTATGCTTTGCACAGCGAGTGCAGGAAAAGCAGGTCACAGCCGCATAGCTCGTGCCAGTCAGTTGATGTGCTTTGCCCGTCTAAGCTGCCCTTTCCGCGCCATCCCGAGAGGCCAAGTCAGCTCGTGCCGTCTTCCACGCGCCTTCCTTCGCCAGCCACGCAGACAAGGTACATGCCGAATGGCCCTGCTCGAAGACCAATTCAGTGAGATGTGCGCGGCAGGCGTTTCTGCCTCACCTGTCCTTTCACGTAAACTCCTTTCCGAGGAGAGCCAGCAGGTGATAGCACACAAGTGTTTAATTTATATGAGCTTGAGCAAACTTTGCAAAGCGTCTGCGTAGTGTTCATCGGGAATCATCACGGGTGTTGGTCCAGTCCACTCATGCTGGTTTGGCTGCGTGCTGCTGTGACGACAGCTGCTGCCCCACGAGGACCCCCGATAAAACGGGCCATGAAGCATCACGCAAGCTTCCCATCCAGGCCCAGGCATGCTTTCTTTCAAATCAACTGTCTGCTTGCTGCTGGTCGAAGGTGGCAGCTGCATGTGGCGGTGCGTGACTGTCAGCCATTCCTCGACCGTCATAAGTAACCTGGTAAGCTAGCATCAAACTGGCGCTTAAAGCAGTCTGGCAGGATGTTGCAAGCTCGTAGTTTTGTCGCTGATGAATCCAGACTACAAGCTGCATGCACATCTCTATCCAGAAGCAATCTTCTGGCAGCTTGCGGCATGCGGCATGCTGTCTACGATGGTCGACGAACGGTGTGCGTCGGATAATTCGCTCGGGCGGAGAATTCAAAGTAAATCAGCAATCCGAGGCTTGATCTGACTTCTCGCAGAAAAAAACGTCCTCATCATGGTGTTGCGAGTCTCGAGAAGACTTTATCCTGGAAGGCTGTTGTGCTAGCAAGCTCCTTGACAGCTTTGCAGGCTCGCTTCCGGTCGGCTTTGCAAGCAAACAAGCTCCTTTGCAGCAAACTGGATAAGATAGCGTTGCGAGATGTGGGAGGCACTGCCAGGCAAAAGGCTCATTAGCGCGAATTCCCGGAGACCAGAGGATAGTCTGGGTCGTGGAGCGACATCGCTGCAAGTCGCCGTGTCCGTGTGTGTCTGTGTGTGTAAAGTGTTGGTGATACTTCTGTGTCCATGATTCAGATGAGCCGCGGAATCCTGCACTTGCCCGAGCTCCAGATTGTGCATCACCGACGCGTACCAATAGGAATGGCAACGGCAAGAAAGCACGGACGGTGCTTTCGGCTCCGGAACCCTAGGTCCGTGGGATTTTAGGCCTTTCCCTGAATTGGTGGCGACGAGGCGACAGATTGTGTCTTACTCCGACTGCATGACCAAAGAACCTGTTCTCGCCTTTGGTGTGCTGTTGTTGGGGACACTCATCTTAAATCTGAAACCAGGTACAATCAACCCGACGGTGTCGGAACCGAAATCCGTCTGCTCTCTATGCGCCTCATCTGCTGGATATTCAAAACTGCTCTGCACCCGAGGTTTGGGACGGAGCTTAATGCCTGGATCACGGCAGCAACTGCCTCAGAGAGGAACCTGTTCACTAGCTGGCTGCTCATCGGTTCAGCTTTCTTGCTGGGTAGGTGTTTTTCCCCTTCATGGTCGGCAAGTGCGAGGCGGATTAAGCATAAGGCGTGCCACGCGCGAGATCGAGTCAAAGCCGAAAGGTGCAGCCACGAACTGCCGAGGCGGGCGATTCGCACTACTGGGATTTGCATCTGTGGATGATGTGATTCGTTTGCAGGAGATGCAGCAGATACCGCCTGGAGAGGCAACACTGGGCCATGCGTTCTTTCTGATCGCGAAGAAGAGACGTTGCGGCCTTGCAGTCCTGGAATTGCGCTGTGAAGATCGAGAAGTGTCGCTGGCTTGAGAGGTGAACTCGAGGGGCAAGAAGTGGGAATGTCTGTTCCAGTGCTGATGTTTTCTGTCTCATCCCAGCGTCCCTGATTGCTCAGCTTTCGGCTCATGTAGAAATAGCGCACGTGCGTGAACGTGCAGGTCTGCCATGTTCTCAAAGAAGAGCACAAGCCACTCTAGCAGAGAGGGCAAGGATTCGCTGGGCGAAGGTGAGGAAAGCTTCGGGGAGGGACGACCGTTCCCTCATCTTGGATCATACAACCGCCACGACAGAATCAAGAAGGCCGCATACCTCTTACTGGAAGCGCAGAAGGCCAGTGCAGAGCAGAAGCAATTTTTCGAGACTTGGCTGAAGATTGTCTTTGATGAGGCATGCCCAGTTTCGTCGGAAGGAGCGGCGCAGCTAAGAGTTCCCACGGACATAGAATCCTTTGAGCTGAGCATCAAAGCTCCGAAGGAGCTGATGTTAAGGCTCGCAAACCGGTTTCTTGAAGCTTGCAAAGTTCCGGATCTACGTATGCTGCAGCAGTTTGCACAGCTGCAGTGGGAGAAAGAGGATGTTTCCGAAGTGTCCCTATGGTGCAGGCTGAAGCGCTTGGGGAGTTCTTGCCCAGGTGTGGATGCTGGTTTTCACTTGGACCATTCCTTGGAGTGGCTTGTCACGGACATTGTTGTGCCAAAGAGTGAGGACCAGGCAAACTTGCGCAACAACGCCATGTCACATCGCCTTGTGCCCTTCGCGTACGGTGCGTCCTTGCTTCCCATTGAGCCCGAGTCCTCTTTGACTTTCGACATGGAGACAGGATCCATGAAGTCTTCGATCCTTTCCGCCCTTTTCATGTTTGGTGCCATGGGCTTTGCTAAGCCCGAAGATCTAGGTTTGACTGCGATCACCCACGTAGATGCTATGAAGTGCTATTTGCTTGCAGCGCTCGGTCCAAAGGGGTTAACCCGAATGGCCCTGCGATTTGAAAAGCCTCAGGCGTCTTGCGTTTCCGACCTCACATCTGCATGCAATATTCCAATGCTGACCAACGTGATCAACGACCTGGAGATTGAGCTGGACAAGACGCCCGGCTTTGTCGAGTATGCAGCTGAGATGCGAGGCTACACAATCACTGTGGGCTACGTTCTGTGATTAGTTGAATTGCTGCAAACCGGAGCAACGCAACGCAAAATGAGATGAGCCCAAGCCTGCGTGCCCCCACGTTGGGCTGCCATCATGCTGGTGACATGTTGCAGCTTCTACCATAGCGATATCGAAGCAGCATGCAGGAGTGGCTGCGTGGGAATGTGTTCGTGTCTCAAAGTTCCGGATTGAACTGCTCTCTCGTGCTCTAAGCTTCTGAGACCAGGCGTGGGCCTCTGCAAGAAACCCATGCAGCGAATGTTCGGAGAGGTGGGCTGCGAGGGATTCGAAGAGTAAGTGCACAAAAAAACAAGTGACATTGCACGCCAAAGGTTCTGGGAATGCCGCTTTCCATGGAGCCAAACATGGAGGCCTAGGGAAGCTCCTTCACACCGACCCATCGCAGCTCACGCTTTCTGGGAGGACTTGAGCTGCACGATGGTCTTTGGCAAAGACCCAGAACCATGGGGGCAGGCTGTGAGCTGCGATACAGCAAGACGTCCGACACTTTGCACTTGCAGGATGATCTGCAAAAGCAGCCGTGCTTCAAGTCTTGTGCCACAGCCAGGTCACACCTTGTGATGCTGTGTGTGTGTGTCATTGCTCCGGAAGTTGTGAACATGAAGCTGGACATTTGCAGTACCACCACGTCTTTCCATCTTCCTCCACGTGCAACCAATTGCAGGATGACCGGAGCTTGCCCAAAGCTGTCTTGATGAGCGGCTTGCAAAACGCGAACCGTTGCAGTTCTGCGGCGCAATAGGTCGCTAGGTGAAGTCAAGGGAGCTGGCCTTTTCGCGCATGACGTTGTATGAATCTCGGCATGGCTGAAGTGAGTTTTGCACCACAACATTCACATGTCTGGAACATGCAGAGTTGCAGATCTGTGGTGCGTGTTTTCAATGACGAAGAGAAAACCCTAATTATCGAAGCAAGTTTGATGTTTGCACAATTTTGGTCCAGCCTCGAAAACCACCATCGTGAGACGACAAAAGGCAGCGTAAGTCGGTAGAGAGCACAAAGTTTTAAGTTCCGGGACTCGACCGCGAGCGCATGTCGTCCTTGTCCCTGTATTGACAGCCGTGACGGGATGGCGACACCTGGCTATATATGCACTGCCGTTTCTGTTGACACGTTTGTTGCAAGAGGCAAGGCCCGAGATCAGTAACGTCATGTGCGATGGCCACCTAGCGTTGGAAACAAAAAGAAGAAATAGGATTTCAGGTCGAACGGCAGAGTTTTCCTGTCAAGCCTCTGAGGCTGATGGCGGAGTCTGACGACTCGGTGGCGGGCCAAGTGTGAAAGATTACCACACAAAGTTACATCTCCGATAGTCTACCAGAAGATCATTTATTTTTGCCGAGGATAAGTTGTAAATGAATTTTTAGCTGGTACGGAGCGGACGTGCAATATGAATACCAGAACGGGTTGCTCGTGTTCTGTCGAAGCCGGAGAGCCCAGTGCCGCACGGACTGCTGATCGACGAGAATCCTGTACTGTACTAGCAGCTTTCTTTCCTTGTATTGTGCACACCTGAGCACTCCGTGGCTTGATGTTTGTCCAAGTCTTCCCGTTGTTTCCTGGCGGTGTTGGGCCTTGAGCTTCCTTGTGGAATGCTTGGGTGGCTAGGGTTAGGCCTTCTTCCTACGTTTCTGCGTGTGCCCCCTGTGAAGCGGCTTGGGATGTGAGCTTAGAGTTTGGTCCACCTCTACCCCCCTTTACAAGAATGCCACGATGGTTGCAGTGCCTCCATTCAACGACCCTCTCGACTGGTCTGGCCTCGGCACAGGTATGCCTCACCCACACTCGCGTTTCCCCGCACTGGGCATCCGCCTTGTGCACAGCCTCTCCCAGGGCATCCCTGTCATCACATCCGGCCTAGCCTCGGTCAGTCAACTCAGTGGCCACAGGAGCAAACCTTCGCAGTTATTGCCGATGCCTCGTTCACTGTCTTCGAAAGCACGCTGCAAGCCATGCTAGGTGATACCCGAACTTTGGCACTAGCGGTAGCGTCACTAGCTGCGCATGCTACGACAAGCAAGGTTGCATCCTGGGGTGCTTGCGGAGCCGTGGACCAAGATCATGCTGTAGAACGTGCCACTTGGTATGCAACAGACGGTTCGACGAAGTTCGCAGTGCCATCTTGGTAATGACGCTCATAGAATAGCACGTCAAAGTAGGTCTGTTTTCGCTTGTTGGGGCCAGGTCTAATGCAATTAGGGGCTTGGGTTATACTGGTAGCACTGCAGCTGTTCAGCACTGCCCATCGTAGCATTTGCAACCTGAAGGTCGGATGTTCGGCGACTGCAACTTGCCTACATCCAGAAGGGACGATGTTGCGAGTCGGACGATCTGGATTTGGTAGGACACAATCAGGTCAGCGTGACGTCAGTGGACCCGAAGGCTGGCACCTTCCAGGTGAGGATGGTTTGTCAGTGGGCCTTTCGTCCCCTGTCGTACTTCGAAGAGCATGGCCCATGGCTACAAGCAGACATTGACTGTTCCTGCATTCATCGAACTTACCTAGGAACCAACAACCCAAACAACGACACCGAGATCATCTACAGAGGAGTGCCAGGCATACGCATTCCCGGCCTCAGCGTCAAGGTGCAGGAAAGCAGGCTCCCTGTCCTCGTAGGCAGTGCCGGGCAGCTGAAAAAGACATCTCTGTACTTGCAGCAGAAACAAAGATCGAACCGAGGATTTGGAAGGTGCTGGAGGGCAACAGCAACAACATTATCAAGTGGAACGGCACGTCAATATTCTTGCTGCAGGGTTTCAAGATGTACGAACTCAAGGCCACGCTGCAAGGAGTGGCAGGTGCAAACAGCCGCCTAAAATGCAAAGAGCTGCCAGGATTTTCCTTTCGATCGTCACGTCATCCGTCTGCAAAACCTGGACTTTGTGTGGAGAAGCTACAAAGACGACGACGACTTCTTCGACTCTATGAAGATTGCACCCTTCTCGAGACAGTGTTCGGTGGTATTGTGATTTTCAGAACACTTCAGGGAATTTGGAGGGTCAGGGCATCGTTCGGTCAGAGACATGCAGTTGCGAGCTGGAGATCGGAGGACGACATGAGGTTTCAGGCGTATAGCCAGACGACCCATACCATGACCACCTTTGAGTGGGAGTTGTGCTGGCCACAGTGGCTGGACAGGAGACAACAGAATTTCGCGTTTGCTCAAAGTCCTGCTATTCAGCCAAGGTGTGGCTGCAGATAGAGTCAAAATCCATTCTGCCAGAATGGAAGCTTGCCACCCAAGCTAATTTGCAGCTTTGAGAAGGCAGGCTTCCACAAACTTGTGCCAATGTTGCAAGACTTGTTCAGGATACCGGCTGGCCCCACCATCGAGCCACTCCAGAAGGTGGCTGATGACGATCCACAAGCAAGTCAGTGCCGAGCTCAGCTTCTGTGCCAGCACCGACAACCCGAAATCTACTGAAGGCGGGGGGGGCCTGTGGGGTGACGGAGCAGTCCTGCAGGTCTGCATTGCAGATGCTGCATTGCAGTCCATGTCTTGCACTGCCACTTGAAAGATTGCTTTCAGGTTCGTGCAGCAGTTGGTGTTCAGCGTGTCCTCGCGGTCTGGCAAACAGGTGAACCTTGCAATCTTGCGCACATCCCCCGACCTCGACGATAACAATATGTCATACTGTCATATGATGTCATATGCTTGGCTTCACGACTGAGTTGTGCAAACAAGCGTTGCGGCTACGAAGTCGGGCTGGGGACTAGCACCTTCCACGCTCAGCTCTGGCAAGCAAGCCAATAAAGCAGGGTGGTGTATCGACAAGAGAGTCACCAGCTTGTATCGTTGGTGCTCACACTGCACAGCAAGAAGTTTGGAAGGATTTCTGCCAGATTTTATTTGCAGCACAGCGCGTGTCAAATGCCCGTGCCTCCAAGGGACTGGGAGGAAGAGGAGGCAGACTTTGCCAACAAGCATCGGCCTTAAAATTGTCCTCCTGATGATGGTTGTTGCTATCCCAGTCTGCCATCGGGTCTCGAGAACATTAAGCCAGGATGGGGTGTGCTCGAGTTCTGTCGTGCTAAGGTTTCAGATCGACTTGCGGATTGAACGTGCGCATAAGTTCTATGTGCGCCAGATTTTCTTTGTCACATATTTGAACCTTGGATGGTGAAAGTAATGTTGAGGAATCCTTTGTGCTGTAAGCGCTGATCGTGCTGGCTTGCTCTGGAGACTCCAACGTGGCACCGATGTCGACCTTAAAACAAGCGATTGTTCTTGCGACATGGCTGCTGGCAAGCTGAGGATAACTGTCGCATCCTGCACACCCCTGCTTATGTTTCCAGAAGACATGGGCGACAGGCTCCGTTATGTTGCCACTGATTGTCGTCGAGCACTGGTATGCTAATTACAGTCCTGGTAGCAGTATTGACTCCGGTGCGCAACATAATTGAATTCCGACTTGCCAAGTACGACCATCATCGGTGCCTCGAGCAGCACTGTCTGCGATTCGAGTAGGTCCGCTGACCTTAGTGTAGAAGTCGAGTAGGCCGCCTGACCGTAATCTGAAGTTCGAGCAAACCCGCCGACTGCACGCTGCAATTCAGGTAGTTCCGTAGTTCCGCTGACTTACTGTCCATTCAATTAGGGTTGGGTCGTCACTGTTGTAAGCCATGTTGCGCGCCCTTCACCACACGGTTCTTGTCTTCTGTGCATGCTGGTCGTTCAAGAAGCAGCTTGGGCCCGCCCTTTTCCGTGATCAGCATTTTGAGGCTCAGCGTCTATGGCGGTGGGCTGCTGACTCTCGTAGCCTTCAAATACGGGGTCATGGACCACCTGCCGAGTGTTCCGTACTCGACCTTCACGGACTCATTTCTGATGCTTGGACGCAACATGTCGCGAGCAATCTGCTGTCCTACCGCATATTTACCAAATCCAGCGTCCCAGGCTCTGGCAGATGATCACCATAGCCATGTGCACATTTGCATCGCTGATTGGATACCGTCTTAAGCAGTACAACGAGGACTCGAGAATCTCAAGCCACATAGGTTGCCTGGCAGTAGCACCTGCTGTCCAGTTCCTAAAAGCAGGCGGTGAGAGCATGGAAGGAACGGAACCGCCTGCGAGTTTCTTTACAGGAGCTGGTCGACTGGGTCGAGAACATAACTTTCTTCTCAGCGGCTTGCCTGTTGCGAGAGAGCCATGTAGCTCCGGAATCGGGTGGGACATTTTCTTGGTTCTGACAACTAATGACCGCAGCTAGCAGTCTCTTGTTGTCTTCGCACATTGTAGACACACAAGCTCCTCACGACAGGTGTTCGCAATTTGGACGATGGCCTTGTTTTCCGTGTGGTGCTGCAAGCCGAAATGCAGAAAAGCTTGGGATGATGTGGCCGAGACCCTGGGCAGCACCGACAGCGCTCGCCCTTGTTCACCGTTCTTTTTTTAACAAGATCACTTCTGGGGGGCAGATCTTGGTGGTCACTGTCGCCGGACAGCCATGCAAACACACAACTTCATCATGCTTCGTGCTCAGTATCAAAAAGGCGGCAGTGGCAGTCCGGAGTACCTGGACCTTGAAGATTTGTTTGACTGTTGCGTGATGGTTTGCGTCGGTAGATGGTGCCACCGAGTGGTAAAAGGGGAAGTGGGCATGCTGCAGACAGCCTTCGACACAACGAAGTCTCTGGAAAGGACTAGGCAGTGACGAGGTACCGAGGGACGGCAACATCCCCACACAAACCGGCTTGAAAACACACAGACACAGTGGCGGCAGCGATGCGCGGTTGCAACGCCCAGGAAGGACGACGACCCCATGAGGGTGCCCAAGAATTTGCCGTCCTTTTTTTCGCACAGCCACTTGGCCTGTCGGGATCCTTCTGATTCTGATTCTTGCTTGTTCTTTTGCATGGTGTCAGGTGAATTTCGCCAGATTACATCTCCGAGCCGGAAGGGCCGGGTATGAAGCTGACGACGGTCACTTTGGTCGCTGGCGTAGGATCAAATTCGTAGGTCTCAAAGAGAGAGGTTGCAATCTGCTCCCTCAAAGAGGGTGAGCTTTCTCACGCGCTGCATTACCGGCATAGCTGCTCTCGGTGGCGCGAAAATCTTTGCTGGGCATGGTATTCTTGAAGGCTTTCTTTGAGGCTCCTGTTCTCGCCATCCTCGCTCCCCGAGTCTCCGCCCGATTTTGTTGTCTGATTCCTCGTCGAGGCGTGATACGAGATGCCCCTGGCAACTGCGCAAGATCTGAAAGGCCTCTTCAAGAGTAGTCAAGATTCGTCTTTTGGCCCCGCTAGCCGCTAGCAACACGTAAGACGTGAAATCACCGCCAGACAGCGGAATGCTGCATGAGTCAGAGCCGATTCGGCTGCAGTCATCTGGTATTGGACCATGGAAAATCCGTAGCATTCCGGAGCTCAGAGCACCTTACTGGGTGGCTGCCTTGACCCGTTTGTTTTTGTCAAGAAATCGCACTTCCAAAAGCGCTACCATGCGCTACTCAGCTACTGAGGCTGGATTTTCTACTTCAGGGGCCGTTGCACCGTCAGGACAGAGGCGTCGTTGCACGCATCCAAACGTGGAAGCATACACAATTGGAAGGCGAAGATCTTGAATGTCCAAACATGAAGATCGAGCTGAACAGGTGTCGAAGTGATGGCTGGCTCGCAGTTGTGATGTCCAACTTCGTGCCCACGAGGTGACGAACAAAAAGCCTGAGCTGCAGGACATCCTTGATATTCCTTGATGCACTGTGCATGCTTCGAACGTTATCGCTTCGATTTGTTCAGGATGTGATAGACAAGATCGGGATGGGCCCGGCGCAAATCTTTTGGGGTCTCCTGGGAGGTGGAGTTTGGTTGGCGGATGGCGCGGAGCTGCTTCTGGTCAGTTCCGTGACAAGGCGTGCAGCATTTTCCGTGATTTCCGTGATGGTATTGAACCCAGTTTGAGCCCGTTACAAGGTGCAAGATGCTGCAAGGCAAGTAAGGCACCATAAAGTACCTTGGCAATTACTCCTGGGAGATTGCGCGAGGTCTCTGCAGAGCGAGTGGCATCTGACACCGTACATGAAAGGCACGATCGTGGCTTTCCAAAATCGAGAAGCAGCCAAGTCCGACGACATATTGTGTTCATAGGATCATCGACGTCACGCTCAGGTTTCGGCAGTGTACCTGGGTATCCTGATAGGGAATTATTCGAGCGGGCCGTGCAGCCAACGCTTTGGCCGACGAGAGATGATCGTCGCATCGCTGTGGGCTTAGTTGTTGAAGCGCTTTCCAGTTCAGCTGTTGTCGGGAAGCTTTAGTTTGTCCTGCACGTCATGTCCACAACTTGGATGTATTCAGCATGTCCTGGGTCTCTCATTGCGATGTCTGAGTTCCATTAACATCCCAGCGGAATACCCAGAGCCCTGAACAGGACATACGTGCCAAGGCACTGAAGCCCTGAAGGCCACTTGATTTTCACGGTCCTCCAACACAGAGGCATTGATTCGCCTCGTTCGTCAACGGCACAGCTCGCCGAAGTTCGCGATACCCTTAACACTGGAATGCTGGAAGCAGCAACCCAAGACCATCAGGCACGTCCAAAGCGAGCGCCGCTCAAACGTTGCAGAGCGAAGCTGCTCTTGCAATGCTTAACCCGGGCGAATAAGATAGTACTGTCTGCTCAGTACTTGCATAGTCCGGGAAAATCACGCACTTCGCGACTCGGGACCGAAAGTCGATCCAGGTATTCTGGAATCTTTCTTTGTGGTATTATGAGCTGCGCAAGTGCCTCTGCCTATGAATTTCTGGCCATGAGATTCTTCGGCGGTATCTTCATCGGTGTAGGCCGCTTGGTGTCAAAACGAAACAGCAATGTGGGGGCTCTCCGAAGCCCGCTCACCACGGCACGGCGGCTATTGTCCTGTTTCCTGCGACTCGCCTGCTGCGAGGACAACCAGCGTGGCTTGCCATTAGCTCCGAAGTCACGCCTGTTTACTGGAAAGTCGTGATGGCTGCCGCATCTCAATCCCTCTTCGTTTTCGGAGAAATGTGGCTTGACCGCTTCGAGATTCTCAGGTTGTTCGCTCGTCTGCAGTATGCCTCCAAGAGCAGTCTGTATTCATGCTTTCATTGTGTCCAGCTGTACTTAGCTGTCAGTGTGATGGAGACGAGGACAGTGCACGTAGTTGTGGCGTGTTGTGGCTGAGCGACGGGGGCAGAGACAATGCTAGCAAAGGCTTGTCTCCTTGCCAGCTATTGTAGTAGGCTCGCGACAGGTATGTATCCTTTGTGATCATGATGGATGATATGACTATGCAGGCAAGACGCACTCTGCAAAGGAGTCATGGATTGTTATCGCCGGCTGTCCCAAGTGACTTGCTAGGGTGGTGTTGGATGTCGTGTCGAATGCTACTGAGGGCTCTACGGCTGCTGTGCTGCAGGTGTTGCACTGGCGATTGCTCTTGCGCTTTGGAGCTTTGCCATCCCTCTGTCTCGCCGCCATCAGCCGCGTGCAGAGTTGATGTTTCGGGTTTAGGGTTCATGACGGGTGCAGGAAGCACGACTCCGTCGCCAAGCCGAGTCTCAGTCGGTATGAAGCCGCTAAGGCATGCTGTATCTCAACGAATCACCAATTTTCTTGGCGCTCAAGGGCCGCATCAAGGAAGCTCGGACAGTTATCGAGACCATGGCAAGGCCACAGAGTATCTCCCCTTGATTTTTGCGTGCCGATGCAAGCTGGAGACCTGGCTCATGCCTAATTAGTCCTGCTACTGCGTTGTCTGGGTAGCTGCGCTACGAACAAGGACTTGATCCTCATTGACTCAAGCTTCATGTATGTCTTGAATGTGCACAGAGTCTAGCGTGAAGTGTTCGAAGTCTGCGTTGGACTACGACAAGATCTTGTTTAGAACCCTCCATCGTCGGGCAGGCAGAATCAAGCCATGCCGACGAGTCTGAGCTTTCGCCAACCGCACGTGCCTCCAGCGGACGCCTCCATCCTGAGCCAGATGCACAGACAAATGTCTGTCGTGTTTCAGAACACATTCTTGGACTCTCGGCTGCAAGATGGACACACTAAGTAGCATTGGACAAGAAGGCTGCTCTGCGGCATGTGCGCCATGCCGTCCAGGCAAGGAGGGGCCGGAAAGGGAAATGCGCAGGCGAAGACTGGCATCATTACTCAGCAACGCATGCATCACTGCTACTGCTGCTACAGGATGCTACGAGTACTGCTACGACGAACTGTTACTGTTGTTTCTGTCATGATACAGTGCTCAGGTGCCAACTATCGTCTTGATGTCCATCTGCTTCACACTGAATCTGACCTACTTTGGCTGCCTGTTCGCTTTTCCGCAGGTGCCTGGCTGCACTGCTCCAAGCTGTTGAGACGAGAATCCTCTTTCTGTCTGCATCGCTGACACTGATACAGGTGCTCCCGACTCTGATGCATGGCCAAGCTGCATCAGAATTACTTGTGGGAGCGCTCTGGGAGTTGCCTGGTCTGGCACTAGGCTAGGCTGTTGGACAGAGTCTGATATTCGCAACTTTTCCCTTCTGGCGGCGTTCAGGCCTGTTGCTGGGCATCTCGGCAACCAGGTGGCCTATAGAAGTCAGTATGTCGGGATCAGGAATCAAGAAATCGCGATGACGTGCACCCGAAGAATGCAGAACAGTTGAACATCGTGTGCACCTGGTAGCTATGATACGGAGAGGAGAGCAGCTTCACAGGCGGACTGCCCTCAAGTTCTATCTGACATCATTGTCATGCAGCCTGTCTGTGATGAGTTATCATAGGCGAGCGACTATGTTCAGTACATGGAATCTAGATCGCAACGAGGCTTCCTGCTATGCTTCATTGTTGGCGTTCACTACGGGCGCCTCTGCCATGATTTCGGCTTGGGGCATTTTGTCATGTAATCAGTGGCTCTTTTCGGGTGACACTTTTTGGCCTGAGGCAGTCCAAACTTCCAAAGGCAATGTTGCTCATAGGCTATTACGGCCTTGAGCCCAGTCATTCAGGGAAACACGGTTGCAAAGCTGGCATGTGCATGGCAGATTCTTTCTGCCGAGGTGTCAAGTCCGTACCGAACATCGGCTTCATAGTTGCCTACCAAATGTCCGCGGAGCTCTACCCCACTGAGGCACCTTCTCAGACTTTCCCTCCACGTTTCAGCATTTCCGCTTTGTCTGTCTAGACTTTCTACAGCGACAGCTTTGTCAGGCACGCACCATGGGCTCGGCGCTTTGTTTGGCATGTGGAAGGCCCTAGACTCGGTTGAAGGTGTAAGCAGCAAAGCAGAAGATGTAGACATGCTTGAAGGGATGGGACTCCGTTGATATCTAGGCATACCGCAAGTCAGAATCGATTTGCGAGCTTCCGGTCGACTTAGCAAAGGAAGGTTTATGTCATGCAGGGCATGAGGCCGTTCTGTCCACTCTAAAGCTGAAGGCTTGCAGCCATGCTTGCTCCAATGGTTTACGAGTGCATCGTGACCTGGACTGGTGGATTCTTGCCGTTCTTTCTGGTCATGGCAACGATGTGCGTGAGCAACTTGTACATGGTGGGCGGCTGAGCTTCGAACGTCTGCTTGTCGTCCGAGACAAGGCATGTAGATTCGCAAGGAATCATGTCGGCTCAGGAGCCGCAGATAGGACACACATGCAGGCAGGCAGCCACACAGCAGCTTGAAAATGACATGAAGTTCTATGCCAACAGAAACAGACTGCACCAACTCAAAGGCACTACGTGGCTGCACACATTCTTCAGCTTGTGGCAATTGCCTCTCATTCTTTTCTCCTCTCACCTCTATCCTATCAGTAGACCACGCGGCAAACAGATACGACATTTGCAGCGGTCTCGGTGCAAGACGCCTCGGCTGTTCTGGGCTTTGCCCCTCCACCAGAATTGGTTAAAGAATGGTGGAGGTCACTGCAGAACCTGTGTGATTTACTTGGTCTCTCTTTCCTTGGAGCTTCGACGGCTTCACAAACAGACCCGCAGACGCGTGTGATCCGTCGTCGTGTTGAAGCGCTTTTTTGGCCTTGTTCGAGCACCTAGACGTTATGGGCTTCGCACTGCGAGCATCATCGGTAGACGATGCATCCAGAGTGCAGCGTGGCCACGCTACCGAACAGGAAACCCGGGAAAGAAGACGAAGCGAACACACCGTTGCTGCAGTTACATTTTTATCAAAGGCAGCTGCGGAGGGACGGGGGCGTCTTCGTTGGCCGAGGACTCCGCTCCCCAGCACGCCTTGGGGTCCTTGCACTCCCAGCACGCGTTAGTTTTCGGCCATTTGCCGATGTGTTTCTCTTATCAAGATGAAACACATCCTGCTTGTGATTTCGTTTCATGTGCAGTAATATCAATCATATTGGGACTTTGAGGTTGCAAGCGTGCTAACTGAGCGTTGCCCTGGAAGCGACATAGTCTTGCACTGTTGCCTTTCGTGCTGATTGGCAGTAAAATCATTCGTGGCATCAAAAAACAGGCGGGTGGTCATATTCTAGGGGCTGCGCCCACGGGCGGGCAGCGCAGGTAGAAGCCTCAAGCAAGGCCATTCCCTCTCAGCCCTCGTCGGCCCTGCATGTAGCACGCACTCCCCGTCCGCCGAACCCCGCTGATGCTGATGATGCGCGCCCTGTGGGGGCTTCCGCAACCCACCTGGCCGGTTGCGGGCGCAGCGCCCGTGTGCTGAATGATGCTCGCCGCCTGGCCTAGCGTCCACGGCGGCCCCGAAACCCGCCATAGTTCGGGGAATGGCTGCGAAACGCGTGCGCGTTCCGAGAGGCCTCCGGGCGAGGGAGTGGGGCGGTGAGTGCTGGGGGGAGGTTGTGCACGCATTGAGCTCCGGTTCAATTACTCAAATAGTACTAAATACTGTCAAAAAAAAATCGCACTAAAACTGACCCCGCAGTCGGGCCAGTTGGGGCTGAGTAGGGTTGAGTGGGGTTGGGTGGGGCGGAGTAGTGCTGGGAGGGGGGGTTGGGCATGCATTGGGCTCCAATTCATTGTTCACACAAACAGTACTAAATAGCATGAAAAGCGCGCTAAACCTGACCCCGCAGTAGGGCGGCGTAGGACGGAGTGGGGCGGAGTAGTGCTCAGGGGGGGTTGGGCATGCCGTGGGCTCCAATTCAATTATTCAAATAGTATTAAATACCGCAAAATCGCACTAAAACTGACACGCAGTCGGGCTGAGTAGGGTTGAGTGGGGCGGAGTAGGGCGAAGTGGGGCGGGGTTGCGCATGCATAGTTGGGCCAGGTGGGGCGTGGTTGGGCATGCATTGGGCTCCAATTCAGTTACGCAAAAAGAACAAAACACCGTCTCGCTAAAACTGGGCCGCGGTGGGGCTAGGTGGGGCTGAATAGGGTTGAGTGGGGTTGGGTCGCGGAGTAGGGCGGAGTGGGGCGGAGTAGTGCTGGGGCATGCATTGGGCTCCAATTCAACAGTACGGAATACCGTGAAAAGCGCGCTAAAACTGACCCCGCAGTCGTGCCAGGTGGGGGTCAGTAGGGCTGAGTGGGGTTGGGTGGGGCGGAGTCGTGCTGGGGGGGGGGTTCGTCAAAATCGTGCTAAACCTGACCCTGCAGTCCGGGCTGGGTGGGGCTCAGTGGAGTTGGGTGGGCAAAACAATTGACGTCCGGCAACAGGAAGTCTAACTTCTGGGCGCCGCCCCGGCAGAAGCCGGTATCATGCTACAGTAACGCCGGCAGATTCCGAACGAGTGAGCAGACCTTGGGAAAAGGTCGACCTGTTGCCAGAGACCTCCACTTTGAGGCACGATGACGAGATCTCAAAGGACCTGGGCACAGCATACTGGAGCATGCTCTGCAGCATGACTCAGCATGACCTTGCTTCTGCTGATGTTGCCAGGACTCCGATGAGAAGCCGGTACACGTCGTGTAGAGTGGTACATGAAGTCAGTAAACCTGGCTTCCCTTAACCCTGGACCAAACAAAGGAAGGGTCGAGGTGGAGCAGGTGCCTGGTGCAAAACGGGCTGTCGCTTGCTTGGTTCAGTCACATGGCACGGCAACTTGCAACCAGGATTTGCCCCGTGCATATTGGTCGCCTGTCGCTACGCACGGCTTTGAACAGGGGCACTCTGTGTTCGATTTTCAGGTTAAGTTCATCAGAAGGCTCACACTCTTGGTTCTCAGGCTATGTAGGGCTAGGAGGCCCCATGGATTTTCGTGCCTGCTCTGCTGAGCGCCATGGGTCAGACGGCAACGCAGTCATCCGTGCGCAGCCCTTACGTGCACATCTGTTGCGAGGATGTCAGAAGGCCCAACGGAGGCTGTGTCTTTTCGTTGTGCCTCGTGGAAGCTGCCACAGAAGCAGCGAAAAGCAACAGCACTCTTTATTGGTTTTGTGGCCAAGCTTGCAGACGGCAGCGAGACATGAGGTTCGCCAGCTCCGATGCTTCAGGCCTTCTTGTTTCATTGAACAGATAAGCATGCTTAACAAAGAGTCGGCTCGACATCGTGAGGCCCAGCTGCTGGCCCAGGCATGCCGCCTGGAGTAAGGCTGGAGGAGCTTGCAGTGTTTGCAACAGGTGCAGAAAAGGAGCCAGAGTTCTTCAGTCTGCAGGACTCCGAGGTTAAGAATATCTGTTTCGTGGAGAAGGCGATTCTCGCTTGTCCTCTGCCTCAGAAGGCCGACCGCGGGGGCCATAGCTGCGGTGCTCTGTAAAACGCCGGAATGATGCTACTTGCCATCCCAAAGCATGAACCCGAAACCGGAGCTTTTGGTAGGGTATCCGGTTCGGTTCTGGACCGTCGAGACTTCTCCTGCACCCCAATTGACTTGAGAACGCCTCAGCTCCTCGGACATCGGCTTCTCCGCATCAAAGCGACGTACATAGAGAGCAGCAGGCCTTGCGTCCAACCCATGCCATGGAAGTGGCGTGCGATGGCAAACCTTTGGCTATGTCCCACAAGCCGCAATGGGCCACCTGGATAATGTCTACTGTGAATGCACCCTGACTTGAGCATGTATAGAAGCCATGACCATGACATGCACGTTATCTGTATATGTTGTTCCGCTGCCGTAGGGGCCCCTTGAGCTTACAGCGTAGCTTCGCAGTGAAGGTGAAAAAGCCCGCCAATTTCAAATTGGTAGCGGAGCTGTTACCCCGAGTGGACCAGCGCTCGCGGGGCAAGTAACCAGTAGCCTGTGCAGGGCCTGGGAGGGCCCGAACCTACCCATTGCGCACTCCCTTTCAAGCTTTCGAACTTTCCATCAAACTCTCTCACTTGCTATGTCCGTCGCCGGTCTTCGGTTCAGTCGCTCCACCTATTCCGGCCTCGTACCATGCCTGGATGGAGGCCTGGAAGGTGTTGAGGACCGCCTTGCTCTCGACGCCTACTCGGAGCATATCCGAGGATATGTTACCCAGTTCTGGTGGTTGATCTACAGGGCTGAGTGTCGACTCCGGTCTGAACGTATGGAGCGATTGCGGAGGGTCCTCCACGAGAAGCCGGAGTTCGGGTACACCCAGGCCAAGGCCGTGGAACGCCGTCTTCGCCGCCGCAGTCGGGATTCCGAGTTTTGGACCCGGGAGCTGGTTACTCCAGCCACCCTTTGGCTGTCACAGCAAACGGGTTCGGCCAGCCAAGGGCTTCGCGAGGGGCAGCCAGCCGGGGCTGGTCCCAAACAAAGGCAAGAAGCAGAAGAAGTACGAAGGTGAGGACCTCAGCGAGAAGAAGGGGGACATCTTCGTGCTCAACCGCCGTGGTGCGCGGATCTGCGAGGGCTACAACAAAGGCAAGTGCGGTTCCGCAAAGCCCCAAGGACAATGCAAGAACACGCACTCCCACCAGTGCAACATTTGCCTCGGCCCTCACCAAGCCCTTCAATGTCCCAAGGCCTGACAGAGTTCGACCTCAGCTGAACCATTGCCCCGCTGGACCACATGCTGCCGGACTACCCCACTCTGGTCAAAGGGCCCTCAAAAATACGGCACCTGGATGGAGCTGCCCTCGCCGGCACATGTGGCACGACCTTGCGCTCTCCTTCTCTTCACCGGCCGCCTCCGCAAAGGTAACATGGCCAACTGGCTGGTGAAGCTCGGCTACCAGGTTTGCTGCGTCGACCTCCCGGCACTCTTGAGTTTTCTGCTACCGGAGGTGGCAGATTAGCAAGAGATGCGACTTTACGACCAACTGCGAAAATAAAGAGCGTCTGCTTGAAGTTAATGCTAATGGCGGTTGTTTGGAGAGCGGATAGGCAATTGTCAGTGTATGCCAATGTCATGTTTGCCTTGAAGCTTTCCAACACATTCCAGCAAGAACGGAGTTGCATTCCGTCAGAGCCTGTGCTGTGAGTATTGAGGCTCATGGGTGAAGGTTTGGGATTTTGTGGGCTGTGACCTGGTCAAACGTCGTCTGGCCTGACCTACAGCTGTCCGAGGTCAGTACTTCAGCAGGTGGCATGCGGCCTAAGCAAAAATATAGAGCATGAGAGCCACTGTCATAGGCCCCTAGGGATGTCTTGTCTTCGTTCATGGAGCTTGAATCCGCGAAGGCCACACCGAGCTGCAGCAAACGGGAAATGTCGGGTGTCCGTTTGAGGGCTAGCCTGGAGCCACAATCAAGCTTGAGGATTATCCTAGGGTCACAGTCAAGCCTCAAACGTCTTTGCTCTTCATCTGCTTGGGTCCTAAAATTTTGACACAATCCTATATAAAGCCTCGCTGGGGCGGAGCATGTGGCAGGCCTGGATTGAACTCGGTCGCTGGAATCCCATTTCCTTGGCACTGCTGGCGCCGGCATGGCCGGCGACCTTGATCGACTTCAGATTCATTGCTATCACGTCTTGTTTTCCCCTTCCCCACACTGACCCCTTGCAGCAGCCAGCGAGAGGGTTGATACATCTTGGTTTGTGATTTCTGGAGTTCTTCGCGCTGTGTGACTGAGACTGGGGATGGTCACTCTGTATATTCATGAGCATGCGTTGCTCACATCAGATACTGCGTAGCTTCGGCCTTAATTGATAAACTGGTGACCAAAGTAGTCAAATAGGAACCACAGGGGCGAGGTGGACTTCAAGGGCAAGAAATCGCAAGCCTGGAGGTGGACCTCAAGGGCAAGGGCTTCTGCAAGACGAGAAGCGTCATTGTGGCATGCTGGATCTTGACCACGCCCCAAACAGTGTGAGTAGTCCTGTACACTGTAGTTGGTGTGGCTTTAGGGGGTGGTGCCCTCAAGTGCTTCAAATCCGAGCGGGGCCACGCTATGGGGCTCATCTGTGTGTCCTGCCCCCAGCTTCACGGTCCCTGTTGGTGGTGGTTGTGGCGGGGGTGTGGTTGGGGGTTAAGGGTGGCAATGGCGGTGGTAATCCTGGTCGCGGTGGTGGTCGTGGTCCTGGTGGTGGCCATTGTCGTCGTGGTGGTCCCGTGAAGGGAGGGTGGTTGACACCTTCTTGACTACGAAGGCACAAAACCGTCACCGAGACGGTGTCAGGACCGTAAAATTTCACCAGCTCAGCCAGTCACATGTTCGAACACTTGGCGTTCTTCGCAATGTCAACAGCTGGCTGCCGCCTTTTGCATGACTTGCGCTTGGTCAGTTATCCTGCGAAACCGGCACGTTTCAGGTCCTACCAAATCGCAGGCACGGCAGACCATTGGTGGTTCGTTGCCAGGACCACTACCCTACACGCTGCAACATGAAGTGCTGACACATAGCATCGTCAGAAGGCAAGGGAGTAACCAGACGTGTCGCAGGAGTGCTGACAACATGCCCGAAGCCTAGTGGCTTAGAAAGTAAGCCATGATGCCGTCCAAGCATGTGTTGCAAGTGACAGTCAGGGTTGCAGGTGCTTTGGCATTTGTCTCATCTTGTCAATTTGTGATGCATGTGTTCTGGACTTCTGTTGCAAGAAGCTGTCCCCAGCGCATGCAAGCGAAGATAATTCTGGGAGCCTGGGAAGCAGTGCATTCGACGTCTCATCATCTCATGGTTTCATTATTTCATCGCAGATTCCGGAGACTTCGTGCGAGCACGACATGCAAAACCTTGCATGCCGGTTCAGGCATAGACTGCTGAGGCCTCTGACGCTTGTCAGAGGTTTGCAGCACTGCGAGGTCAAAGGCCTTTCGCGACTAATGTCGCTGCGGGGCTAGACAATTTCCGACAAGCATGAATTCGAACGCTGGCTTGCGCCACAATTGAATCCTGTTCTTGGCAATCCAGGATCAAGTGCCGGGCTAAGGTACTACTATGCCGCTCAGTTCTGTGTGGACCAGACCGGGAAGAATCATATTACAGGCATACATCTCTAGTGAATGTCCAAACTTGCTGTGACCCCCAAGCTCGGCAAGCTGCCAAACGGGAGGCCTGGCGTACCTTGGAATGTGGGCAGCCATTGCTTGTGGCCTTCAGTATCCGGAGGCGACGTCACAGCATGTCTCAGCTATGAGCCACCACAAATGTGAGCTCACGCGCCATGCGCTATCAATCGTTTCCAGGCAAAATGGTGGTTCGCTCGTGACTGGGCACCCTGCGAGCATCCTCGAAAAAAGCGAGATCTTGACAGGCAGCACGCTTGTGTTGAGGAAAGGTTCGAATGGCTGTCGTGTTGCTTGCTGCGGCTTCAAACAGGCTACTGCAGAGAAATCCATCGGCATCACATCCGTACTCGTGGATGGACAACAATTGCCAGCACTTTGCCATGAACCTTTATGTGGCGAGCTTAGCGCTCCTCCAAACAACTTTGTCCAGCATTGTGGTTGGGATCGTTTCCCAAGTGTCTCGTGTTCGGCTTATGGTTGTTGAATGGAGCAAGATCTCTACACCAGCCCGCCCTCTGTCACACGCCACAAGATCACACCTCTCCTTCATCAAGGACTGCGGCACATCGAATGGACGAACAAACATGCCACGGCAGCCTCGATCCTCAGGACATTGAAGGACTCGTTTGAACATGTCGGAGAGAAATTCATTATGCATGAAACACATTATAGCGACAGTCCGACAGCAGCGGAGCTATGTGGGAGTCCATCCATCTCGTCAAGGCAACTGCGGCAGCAGCTCCATCGTCGAAACACAATGAAAGCAAGAGTTTGAAAAAATGTAAGCTCCATCGTCGCACCAGCATTCGCAGTAGCAGTAGTAGCAGTAGTAGTAGTAGTAGTAGTAGTAGTAGTAGTAGTAGTAGTAGTGGTAGTGGTAGTGGTAGTGGTAGTGGTAGTAGTAGTAGTGTGGTAGTGGTAGTAGTAGTAGTGGTAGTAGTAGTAGTAGTAGTAGTAGTAGTAGTAGTAGTAGTTGCAGCGGCAGCAGCTGAGTACTCGACAGCAGTGGCATATGGCCCAACCATGATAACGTCCACTCACTCCCGTTTGCCTGAGCATCCATGGCCCAACTCTGAAGAGTCTACTTCGACCGCATCCGCTTACCGGAGCATCCATGGCCGAGCCACGAAGAGTGCCCACTCCGACTTCGTCTTCCTCCTGTCGGTACTTCTGCGAGCGATGGTTGCTGCCTGTGTTGTATTCGACAATATCGATCATGCCCATCTTCATCATTAACATGTATTCCAGCATCCATGCCGTCATCATCAGAATCCATCACCATCACCATCAACACCCCCGGGAAGGTGTGTGCTTGTGCACGACGACGAATGCTTACCAAGAAATTACTTTTGTCCCACACAGGGGACACGCAAACGCGAAGTCGAAAAAGCAGGCGACAGCAGTGTTTTGAAAGGAAGAACGCCCCTAACCGGAAAGGCGCAGAACATGAGCATGGCTTGCCACATGCCAGACATGTCGTCGAGTTGTGAACTCTTTTCAGAAGGGTCTCCCAAGAGCCGGTACACATGGGGAAGCTAACAATATTGAAGGTACTCTTGTTAGCTTGCGACCACTGAACCGAGCATGAACTTTCCTCTGTGCGGACTTTACCAAGCCAAGCACCATCACGAGCAACTTGTACAGGAGGGTGAGGGTGACTTGGCTGCCTGACACATCTCTGTGTAACTATGGCGTGCACTGGTGTGAGCCAAAGAGCCACGCAAAGCCTAGTTGTGGATACAAGTTCCCCATACGTCAGAAAAGACGAGTGCGAGCTCTTGTCAACTGCACCGGGGATTGTACGAGCTTCCTGCAATCCTGATGTAGCCGCTGCACTGACGACGTGTATCGAGAGAATCCTGGGCCGATCACTTGCCGTTTCAGCTGCGTGGCAGTAGCCTCAATTCAAACCAGTTCGTGGCGCAAGGCCATACTTGTTATTCACATTTGTACCCGCTGGGTGCTTTTCCAAGATCTTGCATCTGGCTGCAGGTCAACATGGCGCGCCAGTCAGGATACGATCGACACATCACCATATTCTCGCCGGAGGCAGCCAGGTTCGTCGATTGCAGCATGCGTCAACACGATGGCAGCATGTCAGGGCCGGTTGCACCAAGTGGAGTATGCGCTGCTCAGCTGATAGTGAGCTACTGTCCTCCTCGCCAGCATCTACTGCAACGGTTTTGGATGAGCAAAGGTTTCAGGCAGTCAAAAAGAATCAGAACATGACCTCGGTGGCGCTTCGAGGTGATGATAGTGCCAGGTCCTAAGTTGTTTGCCAAGTTGAGTTCGGACGGACCCAGAGTCAGCTGAATCGTTCGTGCAAGGTCGTAGCAGTGACGCAAAAGAAGGTGCCAGACAAGCTGATGGACAAGGAGTGATGTTAAGGTTGAATCAATGGTACGACTCGAAGTCTGAACCTGGCGATCAAAGCGTGTAGCACAGTGGCTCAGACACACAAAGGCAGGGCAGCTTCGCAAGCAACGGTCCGGAACTTGACTTGCAGGAATTTGGGACGCACCTCTACAACATTACACCAAACCTCGGCTGCCTGATGACTGGAATGAGTCCGGATGCTCGAGCTTTAGTCTACAGGCCTGGATGCCGCAATCGTATGTATTTGGCTGGCCTAGTTTATCCCGTGGCCATGTGCCCGGTGTCATCCGACCTGTTTCACAGCAGGGCCCGTGAGATTGCCTCGAAGTTCAAGGACAAGAACGGATACGAGATTCCAGCCCGACCCTGAGCTTGTCTTTTACTCCGGAACGGTGACCCGCTACTTCTGCTGCTAAACTCCGCAAGCTGGGCATTTCGTGAAAGGGCGAACTTTCGGGCAAGCCCCGCTTTATGTCACACATGAAAACGAGTGAGGGCCAGCTTCACCCATCGTCGAACCCCGTCCCAATCGACATTGCTTCTCATGGCCGAGCCCTGAACTGAAAGCAATGCTCGCCACAGTTTCTACTGTCAAGTGGCTGCTACACATTTATTGGTCGTTCACTTCACAGATATACGAGAAGAGGGCGGTCGCATAGCAATACAAACAACACACAAATAACACGTGTGTATGCATTATATATATATATATATATAGAGAGAGAGAGAGAGAGTGTGTGTTCTGTGTGTGTCTATGTATATATGTATACATATACATATGTACATATGTATACATATACATATGTACATATGTATGTATGTATGTTAGCTTCATCCTGTATCATCTTATCTTACCTGATTTTGCAGTGAAATATATTCTGTCTCACCTGATTTTGCAGTGAAGTATATTCGGTGTGATCGTACTATGTTGCATAACTCCATCTCAGACTGTACGCTATGAGATTTAGTCCTTTTGTATGTAGATAGATATGCATACCCATGCATGCGCGCATAGCTTATGACAGGGCATGCATACACGCACATCAACACATATCAGCACAACACGCACCCATACGTATATGAATATACGGATACACTTCGGCCGGGCAGATGGGTTACTAGGTTCACCATTAACCATTTAAATTGCGTGCTCAAGTACATTGGCTCGGGAAGCTGGGTCCCCATTTCGTTCCCCCGCGAGTGCGAGTGAAGACGAGATTCTGCTCCATAACACACTAAAGACGAATATCTGCCGCGAAGACCCGAAGACGGCATTCCCCACCACTCAAGCCACTCAAGTCCTATGGCAGGTTTTTCAAGGTTCCTGGATGCTGTTGAAAAGACCATACCAGCTCCACAATATGAATCGCCCACGCAGGCGACATTCGGCCGCAAAGACGAAGTTCTGCCGCGAAGATGGAATGGGCCCTGAACACGCAATTGGGGTGCAAAACGGAATGCCGCCCTGAAAAGGGAATTCGGCCGCGAAGAAGAAGTTCGACCCTGAAGCCGAAATTCGGCCGCGAAGAGGAAACGCGGCCGCGACATTCAGCCGCCAAGACGAAATTCGATCCTGAAGACGGAATTGGTGCCCGGAACAGATGTGCCGAGAAGCACCTCCTTCGAAGCTCGGGAGTCAGAATCCGGGGCGCACGGAATTCGATATTTCCAAGAGTTTTGTTTTTTTTCTGAAATACTCTTAATGCCCTTAAATGCTGACTCTAAGAGATTCTACAAGATGAGATTCGAATTTAACTCCTCCCCAGCCCCCTCGAATCACAAATTCCAGAAGGTTCTAAGGAATTCGACGCGTATGGGCTTATAAGAGTTCTGCCATGGGCGCCCCATAAGTGCAAGTTCCCATCCTCGGAGTTCAACGTGTTTTAGGAGATTCTTTTGACAATCATGCGGGCGGCTCATAAGTCACAAGCTCAAGGTTTCTACAGCAAGAGTTCTGGTTTCGAAAAACGGGAGCGCTTCATCAGTCCAAGGCTCCATCCTCGGAGTTCAAGCTTCGAATATCTTCGAGTAGTCAGGGGCACCCAAACAGTTCAAGGCTCCAAAGGCTTCTGAGAGTTTTGATCGTCAAGTTGTTCCATCAGTCAACGGCTCTGTCCTCGAAGTTCGCGGTTTGTGAGAGTTCTGATCTCTTAGCCCTCCATCAGTCCAGGGTTCCTTCCTCGGAGTTCAACGTTTCCACAGGTAACAGCTCTGGTGCTTTAGGATCAGCCCATCAGTTTAAGGATCGCAGGTTCCATCCTCGTAGTTTAACGACTTTCAGAGTTCTGATTTTACAACCAGCGGCTCCCCAGCACTCCATGAATTTACTCTCGGAGGTCACTGCTTTTAACAATTCTGACTTTTAAACTCAAGGGTGCTGTCTGAGTCCAAAGCTCCAGTATTGAAGTTCAATGGTGTGAGAGGCCTCTGATTCACAGACAGGGGCACCCTGTCAGTCCAAGGCTCCATCCGGGAGTTCTTGGTTTTTAAGCGTCGCAAACCCCGGAAGGCACTCATAAAAGGACGTGGTCTGGATCGCACGAATGCGGGTTCCGACTTTTCGGTTCAAATACCTGGAGATGCCAATGGGGCCATCAGATTTTTATAATGCGCCCGAGAGCTGGGTGTATGTTGCCCCTTACTTCCAAGTGGGAATCTACAGGAGGGTTCAGTGAATCGAGTGCCAGGCTTGAAGGCCATTTTAAGCTTGAGCTTGTTGGTAAACTGGAAGATAGGCGCCGAATTTGAGCGTCAGCCGAAAATCGGCTTCAGCCAGCACAGACTGAGTTGGGCCCCGAATTCAACACAAGACTTCGGCAAGGAGGCCAGCACAATAAACCGACACTGTCAGCAGTCAGCCTTTAAGCTCGGGGGCTCAACATGTGGACATTTGCATTTGTTCACGGACCATATTCCTGTTTATGTTGATGGTGTGTGCACCTTCGCGCCGACCATCTATGTATGTCATAGCAGCATCGAGCACATCAGTGCAGTCGGGTGGGACGGGAGGGATGTCCATCCTGCGCAACTTCACAGCCCACAAGCAAAGCCAAGGATTACGAACATGAGTGTGCGAGAAAGAGTACGAATTGACAAAATGACAGCGATGCTAGCAGCAAGGAACACACGGAAATTTTCGAGGGTAAGGCCAATGAAAGCGAGACTGAAGAGCACAAGTAGTGAAGTTATGTACAGCAAGCTAACTCCTGCTTGTGACTCCATATGCACTGATATCTCGCAGCGCTTGAGCCCGAGTGAAAGGCCCGATTTCTTAGTTTGGTAGCGGAGCTTGCTCCGTGTAAAGCCAAGCGACCCAGGGGCTACCGAGAGCGCCAAAGCTCTGCGCTGCCTTCGGCGGCGCTCCTTCGCTAACACTATTTTCAGGACGTCGCCGATTACCTGTATAGTGGTTTGGTTGCTCCTGTGGAAGACGGGCATCGCTGTGCCCAGCAACCAGAAATTCGAAGCTGCATCTGGAGCAGCAGGAGTTCTCTCCCACGAGCACTACGAGCACCACGACCCAGAGCTCTACGTGAGCCACGTCAAAGACCTCTTTCTCCTTGAGTTTTTCGATTACCAGTTTTTCCTGACTGACAAGGCAACGAGCGAGGACTACCTGAACACGCCGGCGGAAGGAAGCAACTTCACTGGAGACAGCAGCTGCTTGGTTGGTTACTTCGAGGACTACGACAGCCGCGGCGTCTACTACACGAAAGACCTCGGCACCTACTACCAGACTGGGAAGACCCTCTTCTTCCTCGACCAGTACCTCGGCACGATGGCGGAAGCACCGAGCGCTTCAGGAGGCATTCCCCTTCACGAGTTCAGAAGGGAAGTTCCTCCAGGATGGGCACCAGGTTTGCCCGACTACCCTCTTCGCACCTACTTCGAGCGGTTGAAGCTTTGGTACAGAGTGTTCGATGGAGCAGACGAGACAGTGGGGCCACTGGTAGCGGGCAGGCTTCAAGGCAAAGCTCAACGACTCGGCATGCAGCTCAGATTACCGAGACCGTGGACATAGGATCGGATGCTTTGGTCCGGTTGTCGGTGGAGGAAGTGAGGGACCCTATGGACCCCTCCATAGTGATACAGAGGGCGATTCCCCCTGGGGTCCAGGCTCTATGCAATGCTCTTCGGGATGCCTTCGGCTTGAGTGACCAGGAGTTGGTGAGCAAGAGCATCGAGGAGTTCTTTGAGTTCAAGCGAGGAAAGCTCAGCCTGGCCGAGTACAGCATAGAGAGGGATGCCAGGTTGGAAGAAGCCACAACGAGAGCAGGCTTGGACCTCAACGACGTCGGGAAGTTCTACCTGTTCTTCCGTGGAGCTGGACTTCCCCACAAGTTCGTCGAGGACATCAAGCTTCAGCTCCAAGGAGACTTGCGTCGATTCCAGGAAGCACGAGGACTTGCCCTTCGGCTCATCACCCGCAAGGACGAGCACGGGGATCACTTCTACATGGACCCCGAAGATGGAGACGGCTATGAAGCAGATGATGGCTGGCAAGACTCTTACTGGGCCGATGAGGGCTGGTCCTGGATTGAGGCTCCTGGACAAGACTACTGGACCGACGACACCGAGGCCTACTACGACCACGATCTGGACTCCTGGTATGAGTCGGAAGGTTACTGGATGGATCCTGGATACGACATCAACTACGAGGAACCCCAGGACTACCACGAGAACACAGAGACCTCAGCAGCCACGGAGGAACCCACGTCACCCTCCATGGCAGAAGCCTATCCAATGAAAGGCGGCAAAGGACATGGCTGCTCAATCTGCGGTTCCAGGTGGCACTCAGCTGCATCGTGCCCTGTCGGAAGTGCTAAAGGGAATGCACCCAAGGGCGCATCCAAGGGCTACGGCAAAGGCTACGGCAAGAGCAAGGGCAAGGGCTACTCCAAGTCCAAAGGCAAGGGCAAAGGAAAGGGCAAGTGGCAGCCGCGTTTCAAAGGCAAAGGAAGGCACAAGGGCTACCACGGCTACTCCGAGAAGACCTTGTCTCAGAGCTTCAACGTCGGCAAGACTTCTTGGACTCCGGAGAAGCCCACCAAGACCGTGCACTTCCGCATGGACCACGAGGACAGCACCCCGATCATCAACTTCAAGGCCAGGAAGGAAGCCAGCAGCGAGCAGTCCAATGTGGAACAGCCCGAGACCGCGCAGGACAGCAGCGCATCCAAACGGGTGGACTTCTCCTTTGCGGCCTTTACCACGGAGGTCTACAGTCAGGACGCCTCCTTCCATACGGTTCGTGGCGAGAAGAGGCGTGGCCTACTCGTGGATCCAGGCGCAGCATCAGGTCTGATCGGCAGTGAGACATTGAGAGATCTGATGGAGCACTGCGTCGGTCAAGAGGAGCTGAAGGCAGTG